AAAGTACTCTTCTCAGCTGGGCTGAGCAGCCTGTCAAGTTCTTCCCATCACATACCCAAACTAAGACACACACAAATACAGTACTTCCTTAGTTCCGATGCTAACATGGAAATCACTGCAGTACCCACAGCACAATGTCCATTTGCAAAATTACACAGCAGATGAAGGAATGAAGAGTTTATAACTTTTACGTGACATCCACACTTTAACCCACATTGTAGTTCTAGTCTCATGGTGGTTAAATCATCTGTGGTGTATAAATCCCCTACAGTTATTTCCCACTGGTCACGCAGTCCTAGCTGTCTGTTAGGAGGGCCTTAAAAAAAAAAAGATCTAGTAGGTCCATAGAAATTTATTAGCCTGTTCTTCAAAATACAAAGGTAAGCTGAGTGTGCTGGCGCGTTTCTGTAGTTTTAGCTTCCAAAAGGCTGAGGGCAGGGAGATTGCTTGAACCCAGGAGTTCAAGGCCAGCTAGGCAACACAGTGAAACCCAAGCTCAAAAGCAGAAAGGGAGTGGCGGGGGGAGGCAGGCAGAGAGACAGAGAGGAAGGAAGGAAGAAAAGGAAGGAGGGAGGGAAAGAAGGAAAGGAAGGAAAAAATAAAAACTATACATTCTTTTGATTATCTGGTAAATAAAGGGCACAATCTTAAGAAACTAGTTTTTAACCCAAAAATTTGCTTTAAATCAAAACTAACCAGTAAGAAAAATGAATGGGCTGAGTTTCGTAGTTAACCTTTCCTACCTAGAAAGATAAATGAAACTGCTGGAAGGCAAAAGTGAAGAAATGTGATTGTCATCCCGGGGTGGACTAAATAAAAGAGTCTCTAATAATCAAAGGGTAATCATATTTGTTTCTACCCTTAATGTTAATTCCACTAATACTGAAGAGGGAAGTTGGTAAAACATGCTATTCTATCACATATACAATGAACGTAAGAAATGAATGTACACAGAGGCCACTTGTAATACTGCCCTCACAACAATGAAATGTCTGAGAAGGGACTGTGTTCCCTACACAGCAGGCACTGAACAATGAGAAAGCAGGAAGAAAACAAGAAAAAAAAACCTTGTAACTGGATATGTTTCTAATGTTAAGTATAGGCTATCAACTGCAACTTATCTTGAAAACCATACATGTCTACAAAGCACAATACTGAAAGCTTGTAATTGTCTAACATCTTCTCCAAAACAACACACCTTACAGAACCTAGAATGGCCCAGAACATAATCCACTTACCCCTTGGCTACTCAAGCTCCCAAACACAAGTGAGAAATTAGTCCTACTTCCCTGACCCCGATATCCTGAAGTTAACATTAAATAGTCATTAAGTGCTTCCAGTTATTAAAAATGAGCAGTGTAATAGTGCCATTTGATCAACACTAGTATGGCAGCCTCCCCCTGACTTCTGAACAGGGGCCATACAACACACCAAGTGTCTACCTTTACCCCAGCTAAAGACCCCAGGCCTGGGAGAGCACAGCTCAGAACCCTAACAGGGATGAAAGCCACGGTAGGCCTTGCTGAGATGGGAACAAGCGAAGCTGAGAAGGCAGGCGGTCCTCCTCACCCCTGCAGCTTCCGAGAATGCTGCGTATGCACAGCCACAAGTCCTCCACTGCCATACGAACTCCTGGCCAAAGCGCTGCATTTCAGAACTGCTCTAGTCTATTTACACCTGGACCTAATGAGAGACTTCACAAGAAAGCAGATGAATGTGGAAACTTAAGAACAGACATCCTTAGGTGCCCAACAACACATAAACTAGAAGAAAATTTAAGATGATTTTGTTTAAAGTATGTCACAGTTAGGTGCTGTGTTTTTAAAGTGGTGGCAAGCAATCAGTCTTTAAGGCCTATGATTCTGTATCTTTAGATCCGAAGTGAGCAAGGCATTCAACTTTAAAAAGTGGAAACTACAAAGTGCAGGCCATTTTTTTTTTAGTTTTAATATAAAATAAGAGTAGGATCCATCTTAGTCTAGAGGATCGAATAATACATGTTCTCTCTGAAAAATAGATTTACACACACTCAGTCAAAACAGCAGTATATACTGACACAATACACACTCAGCCACTAAATCAGAAAGATAGAAATGTTGTAATCTTTCAAAGCTTTAAACCTAAGTCTTGAAACGTATTCCATTAAAAAAAATTAATGTTCAAGAGAACTTGTTTGCATCCTCGTGAATTTCCTTGTTAATCTTTCACTTCAAGCCATGGGGTCTGGTGTCTAGCTGCCCTATGTTTGTCTGATCGCCACACTATAGAGTAAAGGCAAATACGTTGGGTGCTATGACTCACTCCTGTAATCCTAACTAGTCAGGAGGCTGAGATCAGAGGATTGGTGAAGTTCAAAAAAAAGTCAGCCTGGGCAGAAAAGTCCAAGAGACTCCTATCTCCAATTAACCACGTGGCTCAAATGGTAGAGTGCTAGCTTTGAGTGAAACACACACAGACACACACAGACACACACACATCACACACACACACACACCACACCCAGCCTGAATTGACTGGTTTCTGGAAGTTCAAAGCCAGCATTTCCCCTTACACACAAACCAGTCAGGATTTCCATTGTTCATGAGGGCTAAGCAGGAATGGCGGCACCCTAAAAGTGGTTTCTTTCTAGCAGGCTAGCCACATGATGCACTTAGCTTCAGAAAAAGCACACGGCTGCAGACGGAGCACTGGAAAGGCCCTTCATCCACCTCTCCCATCTGCTGTTCACAGGCCAAAGGATAAGTAGGCCAGCAACAGGTTCCACTGGGGACAAGTAGTGAAATCATATCCTCCATTCCTTGTTTAATGCACCATCACCCACAAAATTCCCAGACTCTTAAGGTGAAGTAAAACTTAACTTTCAGTCAACAGAGCTCCAACGATGTAGACAAGGAACAGAGCAGCTCCTGGGCAGTGCTGAAAATCTATGTGTTGATCTCAGAGCTATAAGATAACACACACTTTCCATAAAACCCATTTTCTAAAGACACAATTATGGTTGCCCTGTGGATCATTCATTGTCCTGTGGATTGAACTCTTAACTGCTCAGTTCCATCTGAGAAAGAATGCATTCTAAGCACACCTCAGCCAACAGACTACAACATGCAGTCTTTTTACCCTTCCTTTTGGCCCAGGAAATTCACTCGGAACCTCAGGTCTCCTCTCACAGCCTGTGCTAGTCTCACACTTGTTTCCCCACATAAAAATGATCTAGATTTCTCCCATGGAATTTAGTTAATAAAGTGATTAAACAGAAGCAGCCAATCAAGCAAAGAATTCCTTCAAATACTGAAATACTACACGCACACACAAGTAAAAAACACAATATATGCAAGGACCTCAAAGTTGTTATCTATTTTACCATAAAGTAATTCTGAGTTTGTGGGTAGAATACAAAACCAAAAGCAGATTAGGAAATTAAAAATAAGAGTTATGCCTAATACAATGATGAAAGAGACAATAGGCTATCAAAAAAAAAAAAAAAACAATGTGCATGTTCTAGAGAACATTTGTTAATGGGTTACTTGGCAACTTACACAAAAGAACGAGAAATTTCAAAAGCTGAGGACTTTTCAAAATTTTCAAAAAGAACATGAAATTTCAATAAGCCTCTCCTGAAAAATTCCAAGTCTCTTTCTAGGCCTCTGCCACATATCACACATAAAGCAAACATGGCTTGCCAAGATTCAAGTGAGAAGTCGTGTGTGGGAGTCTGTGGACATGGGGGTATGTGGTCTGGGTGCTGATGAGCAGGAAGGGCATCACGGATCTGCTGCACAGCACTGAACCTGGGGCCTTCCCTCATCTGCCGGGAGACTATGCAGAATGCATGCCAGGTTAGTATAAACTTCACAAAAGCACAGAAGGATTATTATGGTTTTTTTGGTCGGTCATGCAGCTTGAACTCAGAGCCTGGGCATTGTCCCTGAGATTTTTCCACTCAAAGCTAGCACTCTACAACTTTGAGCCACAGCACCACTTCTGATTTTCTTGTGGTTAATTGGACCTAAGAGTCTCAACATGGACTTTCCTGCCTGGGCTGGCTTTGAATCTTGATCCTCAGCTCTCAGCCTCCTGAGTAGCTAGGATTACATGAGCGAGCCACCAGTGTGCCCAGCTCCCATAAGGATTTTTAAGACATAAATTTCTGGGGCTGGGAATGTGACTTAGTGGTAGAGTGCTTGCCTAGCATTCAAGAAACCCTAGGTTTGGTTCTTCAGTACCACATAAACAGAAAAAAAAAAAAGCTGGAAGTGGCACTGTGGCTCAAGTGGTAGAATGCAAAAGTAGCTCAGGGACAGTGCCAGGCCTGGCAAAAAAAAAAGACATAAATTTCTATGTTCAAAAACTTTTACTACTGGATCAAGGTGGAGACTGCTTTTCTGAAATACCGAGTGCCACTAAAGGGGTTTAAATCACTAGACATCTAAAGCTGCAGTTTTAGAATGTGAGAGGCAGACACAGTGACTGGTGTGGAGAAAAGCACAGAGGAACAGTATTATATGTGAGCAGGCGGAAGAGAAGGCATTGCTTCCACTTATACAACAGTCAGTCCTGCCTTCAGTGACCTCGAGTATATAGTACATATATCTTCAAGGAATTTTCCAGTTAAAACAAAGCAAATCCAGAACCCTGTATATGCTCACAAGCTGAACAGCTCTCCATCAATATTTGAAGAAAACAAAATTCCATCTAAATTCTAACTGTCAAAAGTGGGGGGAGGGACTATATTTTAACTCCAAGAAGCTTAAGGTTGACCTTTAAAGGCCTCAATTAGGTGTAAGATTTTTAAAATCATTGGAAATTTATACCTTTGTTTAAATACAAACACACAGCATGGTAACCATTTTTAAAAAAGGATTACTGAAATCATATACTCAAGTGGTAGAGCGCTAGCCTTGAGCTGAAGAGCTGAGGGACAGCGCCCAGGCCCAGAGTTCAAGCCCCAGGACTGACCAAAAAAAAAAAATTTTTTTTTAAGAAAATACAGCTTTGGATGTGACAGCCCACTGTGGGCGGCAGACGCAGCGGCTTGCTGGCAGCACAGCGTCTCCTGCGCACTCTCCTCAGCTGCAAGGTGGAGGCTTGAAATCAGCCATAAAGGAGTAGCATGCATGAAGGGAATGAATAACCCTATGCACTTCAGGGCTTCCTCCACCTCAGACATCTGGTGTCAAAAGATTCTCCAGCACAACACTGAGTAGGTAGGGGTCAGGGCAGAGAAAAGGGTAAGAAGTCACTGAAACTGCTTTAGACCCCAGGCAACCTTTTACACACACACACACACACACACACACACCCCTAAAGCCTCTGCTGGTGAGCACCGTTCACTGTGGGTGGGGTTCTGGACATGCAAACCAGATGTGGCCACCAAGTATGTGTCTCCAGAGAATACTGATCACAAAGCCACCTCTTGATGCCAAGAATTCTCAAGACATTCAAAAGAATACAAAGCTGAGACTTTTCCAAAAAGGAGGTAGTCTACAAAGACAATGGTCTACCTCACGCACAGGCTGAATCTGGAAATTCCAACTTGAAAAGACACACGATTTCACACACACACACACACACACACCAGGTGCACACTTCCCAAAATGGCTGCTGTCAAAATGCAAGCAAATGCTCTTCTCCTCCGGAGACCTCGCACCTTTCTGAGACTTCACTCACAGGCTCACAGAAAGCCACAGGTGGGCTAACCTCTAACCCCGCTTCCTAGGAAGTTGCTCAGAGCCTGAATGGCGAAGAGTGCCTGTGGCATTAGGCCACTCTGTTCTGAGAACATAACCTATCAAACACACCATCTGTAAAAACGGACCATCGCTTTTTTCCTTTCATTCAAAAAGGTAAAAATACTTTCTCTCAGAATTTAAAACACATGGTTAAGTCAACCACTACTATTGACTACTGGTACAAAGTGCAGCTGAGGGGTCAAACAGGGAAGTAAACTCAACAAGATGGGGAGAAAACGGAGAAAGCCTGTCCCGTCACACCGAACACGGTCTTTCCACACTACTATTGCACATCTCAGGAACAGAACTTAGACCACAAATGAGCCAGTAACAGGTCTCCTATACCACCCAAAGAAAGGCAGCAGAGAGCATCCACGCTCTCTCCACCACTGCAGAGAAGGACATTTAAAGTCAATACTGTACATGTTGAAAGTGTGGGTTTGCCCATAGCAGTGTCATTTTGAGCCCTTGAGTCCTTACTCCTCCTTTCCACATAGCTCATGTGATTCTGTCACAGGGTTAAAAAAAAAAACATCAATGGGTATGCAGGTGTGGGCAGCCTGTAATTTAGTCTTGGTTCAAAGTCAAACTTTTCAGACAATTCCAGTGATACAGTTGGCGGAGCATCAAACCCTATCTGCCTGCTCCTGGCACTGATGGCCAATGGTTATATTCTGTTAGTGAGGTGATGTAAGTATGACATCACAAGTTCTTACTACTAATACAAACAGCTGGAGCCCGGCATGTGGGCACTGCCGAGCGAAACCGCTTCTTCTCTGGGAGGAATCTTTCTCTCCCTATTGACTGGACAGCTTCACCTTCCCAGTCACCTCTTACCAGCCTTAGATGTCAAAGGAAAGATGTTAAATATATGGCAGAACACAGGGCACGATGCGCGGGAAGGAGAACGGCTCCTTTACTCTAGGAACCTTGTAACCGGGAAAAGCCTCACGTATTGTTTGAAGGTATTCAACTGCACTTTACTTAGATGCTTCCGATTTTCAAGCCCAGGTCCATCCTCCCTCTAAGACGCGTCACTGACGTGCTGTGCTTAAACAGTTATGCAATCTTACCACATCACTATGCTAGATGCAGGGTCCTAGACAGCCACCAGATGTTTCAAAAACCACCTTCAACCCAAGCTTTGACTATCTTCTATGTCAAAACAGACTAGCTCGATGCCCTACTGACAGGTTCAGACAAGACCATACACATGGCTAAGAGTCCTGCCCTGGATGGGCATAAACAGGATACCTACATTACAGTCCTCAACACAGAATCCCCCCATCTTACTGTTTATAAACAGGAATGGTTCTTTGTCTCCCACTGCTTAGAACAACTGAGTTGTTCAACAGCGCTTACTTAGCCCTAAACACATGGCCATGTCAGTTAACTAATACTCCTTGAAATAACAAGAGTCTAAGCATATTTTTTTCCTGACAAAGGGTCCCGACCGCCAGGAGAAATAACTTTGTTCTTAAACATACTCACAAAGTGCAGCTGTTAAACCCCACCAAAAATTACTTTAGCACAAAGCTCTAAAGGACAAAGAAAAGAAGGAGAAAATGAGGAGGTGGAGTTTGGACTCCAATTAAGGCATTTTTATACACAGTCCAACACTGAGTCAAATGGAACCCATAAAAGGTATCTTGATGGAAAATGGTAAAAAACCACAATAGTCTATTATCAGAACTGCAGAACTAATCGCTCACTTCAAATGCAATCAGGTTGAGCTCAGTTCTTTTGTTCCTTGGTTCTGTCCATAAGTGCATAGGTTATGTCTTCTGCAGGTCTGGAGAAAATGGACCAGGAGTAGAAGGTCCATCTAGGCCAGAGAGTGTGAATGGTCCATGACTATTCAATACAGAAGGAAACTGAGAAAGAAAATGAAACAGGTTATTTTACTGTAATTCAATCCTTACTTTCACTTTCTGTCCCTACTGTATTCCCTCCCAGGCAGAACATGATACACTTCTGCAGTGGCTCACAGAACAAAGGCATTAACTGTTTACCATGGGAGATACTGCTATAACATCAAAATGGAAAATTATTTGTCCTAAGACTAAATGTAGCATTCTCCAAACTATCTCAATGGAGTGGAAATATCTTCTGTTATCTCCTAAGATACATAGGTTTACATTTAACCTTGAAGGTCTTAGAAAAATCAGTAAGTGACAGAATTTAGCAGAGTGTTACTCAATTATTAGACAAATCGGGAATCCTTGGAGGACCAGAATGGTAGAATAGTTAGTTACAAGTCACTCATCTAGCAGAAGGTTCTGTGTGTGTATTGTGAGACTACCTGTGTGAGAACAACAACATTTGCTCAAGTTCTTAGATTGTGCTATCACTCAATTATCTGCTGGGGAGAGGCAAAGAAAACTTTAAAAATAAAATATAGAAAATGCTCAACACTCTTCTCTACAAATAATTTAGAATTTTTTTAAAAGCCAGAGAGGGAGGGAAAAGAGGTATGTGGCTCACTGGTGAGCACATAGCCTAAATTCCATGCCCAGACTCCCACCAAAAAAAAAAAAGAACCAGGTGCCTGTGGTTCACATCTGTAATCCTAGCTACTTCGGAGTCTGAGATCTGAGGATCATGGCTCAAAGCCAGCCTGGACAGAAACATCCTTATGAGACTCTTTTTTTTTTTTTTTTTGGTAGGTTGTGGGCCTGAACTCTGGGCCTGGGCACTGTCCCTCAGCTCTTCAGCTCAAGGCTAGCGCTCTACCACTTGAGCCATAGCACCATTTCCTGCTTATGTGGTGCTGAGGAATCGAACCCAGGGCCTCATACATGCAAGGCAAGCACTCTACCACTGAGCCACTTTCCCAGCCCCACTTCATGAGACTCTTAATCTCCAATTAGCCACCTAAAAACCAGAAGTGGCGTGATGTGGCTCAAGTTGTAGACGTGCGCACACACACATGCACACGCACAGGGTCATGTGCTGCATCTTGATATTCAGTCAAGGATAGACCAAATACACAAGACTGTTACTGTTAGATAATGAAATTGAAATTCTTTGATCACCTAGTGACACTGAAGCCATGCTAAGGTCTCAATGCAATGTATTACTTGTAAAATGTAGCACAAGTTAGGCACTGGTGGCTCACATCTATAATCCCTATAATCCTACCTACTTGAGAGGCTAGGAATGGGAGGAGGAGTTTGTGGCCAGCCTGGACAGAAAACACTGTAAGCTTCCTTTTCAACCCATAGTTGGGTAGGAGTATCTGTCATCCTAAACTACATGTGAGGCTGAGATTGGGAGGATCATTATTCCAAGCCAGCCCAGATGGAAAAGTCTGCAAGATTCCATCTCAATGGAAGGAAGCTAGAAGTAGTGGCAAAAAAAAAAAAAAGGCTAAAATAGGTAGATTCCTAGTCCAAGAACAGGCCTGGGCAGGAGGTGAGACACTATCTCAGGGGCCACACTCCTGTAATCCTAGTGACTCAGGAAGCCAAGAACTAGAGGATCATGGTTGAAGGCCAGCCCAGACAGCAAAGTCTGATACTTTGTCTCCAAAATAACCAGCAAAAAAAACAGGGCTGGAGGTGTAGCTCAAGTGGTAGAGCAGTAGCCAACAAGTAAGCTAAGTGAGCATGAAGCTATGAGTTCAAGCACCAGAAAGAGTAACCAGCAAAAAGCCAGGGTTGGTTGGAGTAGTTTAGCAGTAAAGAACTTCCCTAACAAGCACAAGGCCCTGAGTTTAAACACTAATACCATCAAAAGAAAAGTTTAATATGTAAAATGACATATAGTACCTAATAACAAGGTTACTAGTATAACAAGGTTATGTATTTACTGTACTACTGTAAGCTTCCAATTGCTATTTTAGAGTGTACTTACAAAAAATTTACTGTAAAATGTCACTATGCCAGCAATAGCCTGTCAGGTTTTTTTTTGTTTTTTTGTTTTTGGTCGGTTGTGGAGGCTGAACTCTGGGCCTGGGCACTGTCCCTCAGCTCTTTAGCTCAAGGCTAGCGCCCTACACAGCGCCACTTCCGGCTTTTTTCTGCTTATGTGTGCTGAGGAATCGAACCCAGGCCCTCATGCATGCGAGACAAGTACTCTACTACCACTGAGCCAACTTCCCAGCCCCAACCCTGTCAGGTTTCTTGTCTTATGTGGCTTGTTTCTCGGCTGCATTATTTAATCTTGTGACTGATAAACAGACACCATGTACAGGTACACAGCAGGCTGTACATCTTGGTTTGTGCAAATACACTATGGATCGTCCTACGATGAAATCAGGAATCACAGGATTCCTTTCACAGAAGGCATCCCCTTCATCAAGCAACGCTGGCTGTGCATATGGACACTTTTGTATATGTATATACGTATACAGACAGTCCCTGGACTGTTCCAGCTTATGATGGTACAAAAGCCAGGTACATTTAATAGAAACCATGCTTTGAATTTTAGTATTTTCCTGGACTAGCGATACACAGTACAATCCTCTTTTGTCATGCTGGGCAACAACAGAGAGCCATATCCTTGAGTTAATTGCTGAATCACAAGGAAAACTATCCAATACTATACAGTGGCCCATGTTGATAAGCAATGATGGTCCATTGGTTATTAAATAGTTTCTACTTAAATGATATTTCCAACTTACACTGGCTGCATAGAACATAATTCCATTGCAAGCTGAGAACATATCTATACACATGTATTGTTTATTTGAGATGGAGTCTAGCTATGTGGCTCAGGCTGTCCTTAAACTCTTAGGCTCAAGCAGACCACCCTGACTCACTTCAAAGTGGCAAGGACTACAAGCATGCAACTTACTGTATGTCTATGTATATAGACACAGATGTATACCTGAATAGATGCACAGACCAGCTTAAGTGCATACACATGCGCACACATACACTCAAACAAAAAAATGTCTGGTGTTCAAGATGACAAAAAATTTAAGTGAACTCAAAATCTACCTCAAAATAGAACAATTTAAAATCAAATGTAATAGTAAGCAACGAAAAGGTAAACGTTGCGGGTATTTATCCAGTCTCTTTGCTGGCTAGACAACACTTGAGGTCTGGAGGTGTAGTTCAAGTGGTAGAGCATTTGCCTCACATGCACAAAGTCCTGGGTTCAATCCCCAGTGTAGCAAAATAAGCTAGCAGAAAATCAACCCTTGGAACTTCAAAACTAAACTCTATAATCTTTATTAAGTAGAAGCTGACTATCCGAACAGTGGATACTGCTTTGCTGTTTCTTCACTTAGTACTCCTATTACAAGAGACAGGCTTTGATGGAATTTACCTGGAAAAGTGTGTTAGCACCTTGAAGTCTGGCAGGACTCAGGGGGGCTACAGGGCTGAGCGTAGTCCAAAAGTGGATGCTGGAGAGCAAAGGGCTTGGGGTCAGTAGGATAGGTGTCTGCAACACACAAAGAGAGCCAGTAAATGAAAACAGGGCCTGTGATCTGTCCCTGCAACAGTATACAAGCTGCAAACAATCTGTTTCACATTCAACCCAAGTATTGTGCGGTTCTCCACTCCAAATGTCTCTAGGTCTGAAATTTTTCATGATGAAAATTTCAGAAGTCATTTGTGGAACTTAACGAAGCTAAAGGTCAAAATAACCACTTTTCAATTCAGCTTTTATAGCAAATAGCAAAAGCAACCTCGATTCAGGTACAGAGGCATAATGGGTAACTGAGTCAACAACACAGTCCTTCTTTAATAATGAGATGCTCTGGGAGTGATCTAGTAAAATGTTCTACAAGATGAGCAAGTTAATAAATACCAGCTATAACTAAACAAACTTGAGACTCCATACCACACCCATCCCTTTCTACCGCTCTTAGTACCTATTGTTTTCTCATAAGATACCAAGTTTTACGAAGAAAGGAAGAAGAAATACTTTCAATAGGAGGAAGTAGAAAATCTGAAATCAGTATTTACTTGTAGAACAATGAATTTTTAAAGCCAATACCCCAAACCTTCCATTTTAGCCATCCTGAGATGAGGGATTGGGTTTGAGTTATCAAGAACCCTTTTAAGACAAACCTAAGGAATAGAGAACACACTTGCAGGTGGAAACTGTAGGTTTGTTTTAGAAGGTGAATAAACGTGAATAGCCGCACTAGAAAGGAGGAGTGAGCTACCTGAGAAAAAAGTGCTGGTGTGAGAGAAGCCGTAGGGAGAGATGGGCTTAAAATCCCCAGTGGGCTCGGGTCACTGCCTGTGATCACAAGAGTGGGTGCCAGTTCTAACCCTTTGGGTTTTTTGGACCTTGATGAGCTATTTGTTTTGTCCTTTTCTGGCAAAACTGAATCCTCATTTTTAGACTCCAGTGACAAGTTCTCTGGAAGTTCCATTGGCTGAGAAGCCAATGATGCAATGTCTGTATCGATGTCCGGGTTGGAACTCAGTGGTGGAGAAGGTGTTCGAGAAGGCTCCTTCAAAGAAAGGGGTAAGGATGGAGCAGGAGGTGTGGGGGTGAAAGTGGCTTCTACACTGGATACAGAAGTAGCTGGGGCTTCCAAGGAAGGTAGTTTTGGAGAAACCAAAGTCTCCAGTGCTTGGATAGTTTCTTCAGAAGATGGCGAGATACTGGGCCCAGATGAGATGGCAACAGGAACAGGTTCACTGGGCAGCTTTTTGGAAGGTGTTGTTACAAATCTGATGACCGATGGTGTTGGCTCCTGAGATTTTTTCTCGGCCAGTTTCTCAGCTGGATTCTCCATCTTTATAGATTTGAAAAGCTTCTTGCTGGAGGTGTTCAGTGAGTTGAGAGTAAATGAAGAATACAAGCCAGAGTGGATGTAGTCGTTGCGGCTAGAGGCCTTGGCGCCAGGCTGAGGGGCTGCTCTCTCTCTCCCACCATTCTCCACATCTTTGGAGCTGCTGCTGCTGACTTCATTGGAATTTAGAGGTTCACAGTCTCCCTCAATCCTGCCCACTGCCATTGGATCCATTTTCAAAATCTCTGGGTAAGACACAAACTTGTACACAAACTTCTGACCATTCACTTTTTTAATAATATTCTGTAGGTAAAGAAAATAAGCATTCTTATACTTTCTTGTTAACTTACATCCCACAGCTAATGAAAAAGCTGACCTAGTGAAGCTATCTGAGAAGCGGACATAGCTCACTTAAAAGCTTCACAATCTTCAACATCAACCTAGCCACACCAAATAGCCCTTGTTAATGCAGAGAAGTTAAAGTTTTACTATAAAAAGTTGAGCAATTGTTAATTCTGTGACCTTTTCAAATATATTTATTAAGTCAGAACTCACTGGACTGCTTGTATCAAATAAGTCCACAGGCACAAGCCATAGCATCCTAAGAAGGCAGAAAGGAACTTGAGCATTGCATCTGTGAGGTTGCTACTTCCTTCAGAGAAAGCTGATAAGATCAACTTAAAGGCAAAAGGAAACAAGTTCAGCCTCTTATTCTAAGTCTAGCCTTCAGGGCTGTTCGTTTTTCCTCAGTGCCCAAGAACATAATTCAAAGTAATGACAAATCAAATATATAAAATTTTAACTAAGAAATCAATTCCATTAACAGCTATTCTTTAAGATATTAATCTATGTTCCCTAGATTAAAACTAAAATTAAGAGCTTAAAAAAAACCTATGTATAACAATTTTTTAAGTACATTATGACTAACATGGGAATATTTATCCTAAAAAAAACTATTTTTTTCATATTCCAATCCTGTACTTTTTGTTTTAAAAGAAAACTCAGCCAGGAATAAAGAATATGTAATAAGAATAGGTTACTGAGTAAGAATTTATAGACATATAGCTGAACATTTTACATTTACACATTGCTGAAATATAAAATAACAGAGATAGCAATACCCACAATCTCTATAGAAATGAAGGAATGACGCTGGTCTTGAGGCTATCTGTAGACTCAAGACAGGGTGGTGCATTACCTTCACGTAGTAGTATCTGAGAGCTCGGCTGAGTTTGTCGTAATTCATGTTGGGCTTGTTCTTGCGAATCCCCCAGAGCCGAGCCACCTCTTCTGCCTGCAGAAGCTTGAACTCCCCATTGTCAGAGGTCCAGCAGATCATGTGCTTGTTCTGAGGCTCCTGCAGGAGCTGGAGGAGGAACTGCCACAGGGTGATGGCACTGTCCATAGCAATAGGCTGAAAGAACACAGCAATAGGCTGAAAGATATGTGGTAACATTAACTTATCTAACACTGTCAGGCCTGGCTCTATGTGCTCTAAATGTACAAGTTATTGTTCCATACGAATCCCATAAGTTAAGGTACTACTGCATTGTTTTACATATGGAAAGAAAAATGGACTAATCAAAGGATTATGTAACTTGCCCCAAATCACATAACAAATGAAGCTAAGTAAGCCCAAGCAATGTGGATCCAGAATCCAAACTCTTAAGCATGACATGCTGTTTAAGAAGCCCTCAGTACTTATGGGCACTGGTAACTCATATCTGTAATCCTAGCCACTCAGGAGATCAAGATCCCAAGGACCAAGGGTGGAAGCCACTTATGCAGAAGGACCAAGGGTGGAAGCCACTTATGCAGAAGGATCAAGTGTGGAAGCCACTTGTGCAGAAAAAGTGTGTGAGACTGTCTCTAAAATAACAAGCAAAAAGCAGGACTTCCTGCGGCAGGTAGAGCACCAGCTGAGCAAGCAAAGCCGAGAGCACATGAGGCTTGGAGTTCAAATATTCTAATCTGTCACCACCTGCCCCCTTCCCCTTACCCAACCTCCTAAGCATGGCCCAAGAGTGGCTAAATTGGCAGAGCATTCCCTACTAAGTCTGAAGCCCAAAGTTTGATTCCCAGAACTGGAAAAAAAAAAATTCTTAAGCAACAAGCAACTTTCATGGAGGCAAAAACTAGTTCAAAAATAACAGGAACAGAAAAACTTGTCAATCAAGCGTGTAAGTTAGCCAGGCACCAGTGGCTCACACCGACCCTCCAAAAAAGTATGTTATTAAATTTTACCTCAAACTCTCATTGTTATATTCTCTCAGAAGACCACAATTCTAGCACCTATGTAAATAACCCAGTTGTTTGTTTTTTTGTCAGTCATGGGGCTTGAACTTAGGACCTGGGCACTGTTCCTGAGCTCTTTTGCTCAAGGCTAGCTAGTGCTCTAACTTTCCTACCGGGGCTGGCAGTAAATAACCATCCTCAGATCTCAGCCTCCTGAGTAGCCAGGATTACAGGTGTGAGCCACCAGCACCCAGCTAACCCAGTTTCATTTACTGGCCAAGAAATTTGTCTCAGGGTAACCTGGGGGCTGAAGTAGAGGAAATAATCTACTCCTATTCCAACTACTGTGGTCCTCTACATAGCCCTGGGTTTGATCCACAGTACTACAAAACAGAAACAAACACATAAACAAAAACCTTAACCAAGAATATATAAATAACTTTTACAACTTAAAAAAAGAAAAATTTATGGAAGTGAAGCTGTGGCTAAATTGGTAGAGCACTAGCCTTGAGCTGAAGACAGCACCCAGGCCCAGAGTTCAAGCCCCACAACCCATCAAAAAAAAAAAAAAAATGAAAAATTTAAACCAGGTATGATGGTGCATGCCTATAATCCCCACAATGGAGAAGAAAATAAGTTCAAAAACAACTTGGACTATGTGACCAGACTCTCAAAGAAGGGAGGGAAGAGCTGGGAAGGTGGCTCAATGGTACAGTGCTTGCCTTGCATGCATGATGCCCTGGGTTCGATTCCTCAGCACCACATAAGCAAAAAAGAAAAAAGCGCTATGGCTCAAGTGGTAGAGCGCTAGCTTTAAGCTGAAGAGCTGAGGGACAGTGCCCAGGCCCAGAGTTCAGGCCCCACGACCGGACCCAAGAAAAAAAAAAAAGGAAGGGAAGGAAGGAGGGAAAGAGGAAGGGAGGAAAGGAAGGAGGGAGGGAAGGAAGGGAAAAAAGGGAAGGAGGAAGAGAGGGAGGGAGGGAGGGAAAAAGAGAGGGAAGGAGAGAGGGACGAAAGAAGCCAACCAATCATGTGGTACAGGCTCCCAGACAGGATTCAAAAGTAAAATGATCTAGAGTTTGGAGCAAGAATTGGAGGTCTACTCAGGTAAAAGGTAGCAAGACTCTATCTCCAACAAAATATTAAAACAAAAGGGCTAAGAAATAGCACAAGTGGTAGAGTACAAGGCCCTAGGTTCAAATCCCAGAAACATTTTTTTTAAAAAAGAAAGAAAAAATAAATAATTAAACAACAGATCTGAAGTCACTTCTCCAAAGAATGTATATAGTCAAAAAGCATATGAAAAGATACTTCCCATCATTATTAGGTAAATAAAAGTCTAACCAGGGGCTGGGAAGGTGGCTCAATGGTAGAGTGCTTGCCTTGCATGCATGAGGCCCTGGGTTCGATTCCTCAGCACCACATATGCATAAAAAGCTGGAAGTGGTGCTTGGCTCCAGTGGTAGAGCGCTAGCCTTGAGCTGAAGAGCTGAGGGACAGCACCCAGGCCCAGAGTTCAGGCCCCATGACTGGCAAAAAAAAAAAATCTAACCAATAAAAAATTACGTCATTAACTACTAGAAGAGCTACAACAAGAAAATGGATCTCCAGATGCCTCATTCTCCTGAGTGTTGGGATTGTAGGTATGGGACACTACAACTATCTCAGGTGTTTCTTTTGAGGCTGCTGGAAAAAAAAAAAAAAGATGTTTGCGCAACTCCATGATTATACTAAAAATCAATGAACTGTGCACCCTAGACAGGTGAATTTCATGGCATATAAATTACATTATCAATACAGATGTTTAAAGTAGAGGCTGGGAAGGTGGCTCAGCGGTAGAGTGCTTGCATTGCAAGCATGAGGCCCTGGGTTCGATTCCTCAGCACCACATAAACAGAAAAAGCCGGAAGTGGTGCTGTGGCTCCAGTGGTAGAGCCTTGAGCCGAAGAGTTGAGGGACAGCGCCTAGACCCAGAGTTCAGGCCCCATGACCGGCAAGAAAAAAAAAAAAAAAGATGTTTAAAGTACACAAGCCTAACACCACAAACTAAGTAAGTTAGGCTTGAGAAAACTTAATTCTAACAACTTAATTATAATTCTAACGGGACCCTTAAGGGCTGATTAATAACACCTGGGTTTCTAACTCTAGCTTCCCTTGGACACATGCAATGTCTTCCAGGAATCTTCACACAGGCAGCACTTTGAAGCTGGTTGTACAGAGATGCTATCATCCCGAAGCAGAGATGGGAAAACAGTTAAAAAACAGGAAAGGAAAGATGCCTCCAGACAGTACTCCTGGAGAAGCTGAGGCCATCAGTGCAAGCCTCCTTCATTACTCACATCCTCTGTTCATCAAGGAACCTTCTTGCCCTGAATTTACCTTGCTAAGGTGATCACACACTTGTTAGCCACTACATGATAGGCATGTATAAATTATAAATGAAAAGCTTCCTCTAATGCTAAATAACCATGCCCACTAGCAATCAGTTCCCCCTAGCCTCACCTAAGCTGGGCTTCTTACTGATTTATTTACTTATTTTTGCCAGTAGGATTTAAACTCAGGGTCTCATGCTTGCTCAGTTTGCTTACTTCGCTGGCACTCTAACACTTGGGTCACGTCTCCAGCCTTACCTCAACTCTTCCAATCTGGTGTGAGCCACCAGCCCCTGGCTACAATAGTTGGTTATTATATCAACTAAGTATGTCAGGAGAAGAATCACCTGCCATTCTGCATGTACCAGACAGACCATATTTCTGATAATGCTTATTCAAGCAAGGAAAGTTGTTTTTTTTTGGGGGGGGTCCGGTCGTGGGGCCTGATCTCTGGGCCTGAGTGCTGTCCCTTAGCTCTTCAGCTCAAGGCTAGTACTCTACCACTTGCGCCACAGCACTACTTCTGGCTTTTTTTTTTTTCTCTTTGCTTATGTGGTGCTGAGGAATCGAACCCAGGGTCTCAGGCATGCAAGGCAAGCGCTCTACCACTGAGCCAACTTCCCAGCCCAGGAAAGTTGTTTTCCCATTTAAGCCATCAGTTGCTAGTCTACAACTGCTAAAATGACTCAAAGTATTAGCTTAACCAAACAACTCAATTTCACATTCCCAAATACCACCTTTGTATAAAGAATATTTAAGGCCGGGCGCTGGTGGCTCACGCCTGTAATCCTAGCTATTCAGGAGGCTGAGATCTGAGGATCGAGGTTCAAAGCCAGCCTGGGCAGGAAAGTCCGTGAGACTCTTATCTCCAATAAACCACTAGAAAACTGGAAGTGGCGCTGTGGCTCAAGCAGTAGAGCACTCGCCTTGAGCTGAAGAGCTGAGGGACAGCGCCCAAGCCCAGAGTTCAAGCCCCAAGACGGACACACACAAAAAGAATATTTAAGCCAGGCCCTGGTGGCTCACACCTGTAATCCTAGTTACTCAGAAGGCTGAGATCTGAAGATGGGGGAACAAAGCCAGCCCAGGCACGGAAGTCTGTGAGACTCTTCTCTCTAATTAACCATCAGAAAACTGGAAGTGGAGCTGTGGCTAAAAGCTGGAGTGCTAACCTTGAGCAAAAGAGCTCAGGGACAGTACCCAAGCCCTGAAGTCAAGCTCCACCAAAAACAAAAGGGGGGAAAAAAGAATGTTTACAGAGGCAGGTATGATGGCTTACCCCTGTAATTCTACCACTCAAGACAGAGGCCAGGGCTAGGCTCCAGTGGCTCATACCTGTAATCCTAGCTACTCAGGAGGCTGAGATTTGAGGATCTCAGTTCAAAGCCAGTTCCAGCAGTAAAAGTCCGTGAAACTCTTATCTCCAATTAACTACCAGAAAACCAGAAGTGGCGCTGTGGCTCAAGTGGTAGAGCACTCACCTTGAGCTGAAGAGCTCAGGTACAGCACCCAGGCCCAGAGTTCAAGCCCCATAATCGACCAAAAAAAGAAAGAAAGAGGCCAGCTTAGACTACATCACAAAACCACCATACCATCATCTTAAGAGAGAAAAAAAAAAAAAAAAGAAATGATTACAGGATCAGAGGCAGGAACGTACACATATGAGAGATGAAGAGGGGAGAGAGAAAAGCCAGGCAGAGAACTGAAGTATAAATGACGGTAGTGCTTATATTTCCATTTGTTTGGGGAAGAAAAGTTCCTTTTTTGTGTGTGATATTTTTCAGTTTGTTTATTGAAACAATCTACATAATAACCTCATTGCACTCTTTTTTTTTTTTGGTCAGTCCTGAGGCTTGAACTCTGGGCCTGGGTGCTGTCCCTCAGCTCCTCAATTCAAGACTAGCACTCTAACACTTGAGCCAGAGCACCACTTCCAACTTTTTTGGTTTATGTGGTACTGAGGAATTGAACCTAGGGCCTCATGCATGTGAGGCAAGCTCTCTATCACTGAGCCACCTTCCCAGCCCTGTTTTGGGAAAAATTCTAAGACCCAAATCCTTGACTCTTAATACCTATTATGTTTCAGCCTTACAGATTTAAACTGGCCAAATGATACAGCCACTAAGTCATTAGTGAGGCATTAACATCTCCCCCAGGAACACATAAGAGCCATCCTGAGCAAGGAAGGTTTTTAAAAATATAGGAATACCCCCAAGGTAGTGAAGGCTTACCTTCGGCCTTTCCTTCTGCTAACTACAAGAGTTTGGTGTATGGAGTCAGATGCTGGTGGGGTGTTGGATACTTTAGGACAGAAGCGAAGTCCTGTGGTAAATGCCAATGCTCCAGCACATCAGCGTGTCCAGGACAGAAGGCGGCTAAGAGGAAAACAAAGGGACATTATGGTTTGGAATTGAAGTACTAGAAATCTGATTTTTTTTTTGATAAAAACTTCGCAGAAGAATGGACATCTTCAGTGAGTACTTTATATATTTATTTCTAGAACTGGGATTTGAACTTAGTTAGGGTCGTATGCCTGCTCAGTTTGCTTACTTGGCTAGCATAGTCACATGTCCAGCCCAGATTTTTGCCGTTTGAGAGATGAAGTCTTTCAGTTTTCTGCCTCGTCTGGCTTTGAACCAATCATTCAGGGCTCAGCTTTCTGAGCATTACGATTACAAGGCATAGGCTATCAGTGCCTGGCTCCTAAAACAGTATTTTGCCATTAAAAAAACATTTTTTTATGGGTAATGCTAGAGATCAAATCCAAGATCTTACATACACTAAACATGCTCTAACTCCTAGCTACATTTTCAACCCCTTATTCAATTTTAGTATCAGGTTATTCTTACAATAATAAAATTGGTGATGGAAATGGAGCTGTGGCTAAAGTGGTAGAGCAGCAATCTTGAGCAAGAAAGCTAAAGGACAGACCAGGGTCTGCGTTGAAGCCCCAGCACCATCACAAAAAGAAAAGAGAAAACTTGGCAAACTCCCAGATTTATGGTTAAATAGAAACTACTCATTTAGTTCCTGCAAGTGTGGTATTAATTATGAACCTCAAAGACTTCCTCAGCCATAAAAGAGAACTAAAGGGGAAAAAAATAACTTCAGAAGATGTTAAAAATTATAGGCATAAACTGAAGCGTCAAAAATACAACCTTATTCTTGTTACAACAAATAGAAAACAAAAAGTAAGGAAAATAGTGTGCATGGTGGCACATGCCTGTAATCCTAATAAGTCAGGAGCCTGAGGCAGGAGGCCCCTGGGTTTGAGACCAGCCTACACTATGTACTGAGACTGGTCAAATGAAGATACCTCATTTTTGATGCATTAAATGCTGAAGAAAATGTTACCTTAACACTTCAAAGAAAGTCCAATCCCTGCATTACACTAAGGTAGAGGGGGAGGGATTAGGCAGCAGTAGATCACTTTCTTGCATACTATAGACCCTGGCTGGATCACAGAATAAAAAAAGAAACAGGAAACCATGTTGAAATAAAATAATGGGAGAATGGAAGACTATTAAATAAACCTTTTCCACTTCAAACATGTTTATAATACACAGTCCAGCTCCTGCAGTGACCCATGGCCCAATAGTTTTCAGAAAGTAGCTAAAAGAGGGGCTGGGAAGGTGGCTCAGTGATAGAGCGCTTGCCTTGCATGCCTGAGGCCCTGGATTTGATTCCTCAGCACCACACAAAGAAAAAAGGCGGAAGTGGCACTGTGGCTCAAGTGGTAGAGTGCTAGCCTTGAGCTGAAGAGCTGAGGGACAGCGCCCAGGCCCAGAGTTCAGGCCCCACGACCGGA